GGAGATGTTTGAGGGGAGGGTTAATATCAGAGTTAAGTGTTCTATGTATGTAATAGGTGCAGTAATAAGTATGGATGTTTTGTATGGTGAGTAGGTTTAGTGTATTGAATATTGGGGGAGTGTGCTGCCTGTAGTGAGAATTTGTTATCATTCTAACTGCAGCCTTTTTTTGGGGTAATTAGTGGTCTGAGATGGTTAATTGTTGTTGAGCCCCATGCACAAATTCCATAGGTGAGATAGGGGTAAATAAGAGAGTGATATAGGGCCAGGAGGGCTGACTGTGGAACATAGTACCGTATCTTCGATAGTATGCCTACAGTCTTGGAAATTTTCTTAGAAATTTGATGTATATGTGTATGAAATTTGAGTCTATTATCAAGGTGGATTCCTAAGAATTTTCCCTCTGTTAGTTTTGTGATAGGTGATCCATTTATCATTTGTTAAGAGGGACATCTGTAGCTCTGTTACCAAACTGAATGAAGTAGGTTTTGTCAATGTTTAGTGTAAGTTTGTTAGTCCTCATCCAGGTAGATTATTTTCTGTTAATTCGGTATTTACAGTATTGGCTAGCGTGACTGGGCTCGGGTGAGAGAAGACGTATGTAGTGTCATCTGCAAATAGTGTGGGTTTGAGTAATTGCGAAGCATTTGGAAGGTCATTTATGTATAGGAGAAAGAGAAGAGGGCCAAGGACACTTCCCTGTGGGACACCAACTGTAATTGGTTGTGCAGAAGAGTTTGCCCATTTGCGTACACATATTGGCTTCTGTTGCTGAGGTAAGACTTGAGGTAGTTGAGGGAGTGCCCTCTTATACCATAGTGTGACAATTTTACGTGGAGCAAGTCATGGTCAACTGTATCAAAAGCTTTACGTAAGTCAATGAAGATCCCCTGTGGGACTTCTTTTTTCTCTATTGCAGTGTATATATGTTCTAGCATGTGTATAATAGCATCATTAGTATTTTTATTAGGCCTGAATCCAAATTGGCAGGGGTTGAGTATGTTTTGGGAGATAAGGTAGGAGTAGATTCGTTTATGAATTAATTTTTCGAAGATTTTTGAGAGAGGGTGTAAGTTGGATATTGGCCTATAGTTATTCAACTCTGTTTGGTCTCCTCCTTTGTGGATCGGGGTGACCCTTGCTATTTTGAGTACTGTAGGAAGGTGGAGGATTCAATGGATTTGTTAAAGAGTGTTGCAATGATTGGTGATAGCACTTGTGACACTTTTTGTATATAAGGGGTGGTAAGGTATTTAAATCTCCTGCCTTGTTTTTTAGTGCGTTGATAATAAGGGAGACTTCGTATGGTTAGTCGGAGCTAGGAACAGTGTGTTCGGGTAGTTGCCGGTGAGGTAGTCATTTGGTGGGGTATCTGAGCTTGGGATTTTATTGGCAAGGTTTTGTCCTATAGTGGAGAAGAAATCATTGAGTCTTTTTTGCTGTTTCTGTTGGTGGGAGTTGGGGTTCATCTGTTTTTGCTAATTTTATTTCGCTATTTCGTGATTATCTTTTTTGTTCCCAGAATTTCTGATAGGGTTTTCCAGGTCTTTTTTATATCACCTCGTAAGTTGGATAATCTGTTCTCATAATACAATTTTTTTGCCCTTCTTATCAGGCTGGTTAGGATTGACGAGTAACGTTTTGTTTGGTCTCTGGTTATGTGACCCATTCTGTACTGTTTTTCATATTGGTGTTTTGTATTTATGGATTTGAGAATGCTGGGTGTTAGCCAGGGACTGTTCAGTCTCTTTGCTGTCATCTGTTTAGTTTTTTTAGGGCAGTGCTTGTTATAGAGGTATTGGGTTTTTTTTAGAAAATTATTAATACATTCGTCAATATCTGTATAGGTTTCTAGCTCAGTGTACCAATCAATGTTTGCTATTGCTGTTGTGAAGTTATTAATGGCTGCCTCATTGTGAAGTCTGAAGGTGACTTTAGTAGTGTCTTGGGGTAGTTTACCCAAGAGTTGTTATGAGGAAAGTAGGGTAGTGGTCTGTGGTATATCTGTAATTATGCCTGATTTTAAAGGGATATGGTGTTGGTCCAGATGTGGTTTAAGTAGGGAAACACTAGTCTCTGTAACTCTTGTAGGTTTTGTTATGTTTTGGGAGTAACATACAGTTACTCATTGTGTTTGTGAATTCAGTAACGTGTGGGTCCTGGTCTTGCAGGAGATTTATATTGAAGTCACCTGAGAGTAGTAAGTGATCTTTGTTCATGCGTGCATCAGTTATCATACTTCCTAGATTTTGACTAAATTGGCTAATGTTTGACTGTGGAACTCTGTAGATGTTTATCAATGTGAGAGGTTTTTGTAGGTACTTTGATTTGAATTTAGCTATTATATATTCCCCATGTTCATCCCTTGTGCAAGTATTAGTGATACATTCTAGTTGGTCTGAGTAGTATATGGCTGTGCCACCCCCTTGTTGATCAGGCCTACAGTTGTGTATGGCTGTGTAACCAGGAATGGCATAGACATCTGTACTATCAGGCTTTAGCCAGGTTTCAGTTAGTGTAATGATGGACATATTGGCATGTAAGGAATTTAGTAATGCTATGAGGTCCCTCGTAATGCTTGCTTAAAGATCTGATATTGTAGTTAAATATAGTTATGTTGTTGTTGGCACTGAGAAGTGCCTTTGATTGTTCTGCAGTGTAGTAATTACAGTTACTGTTTGATTCATTTAAGTCATTAAATAAGAGGTTGGTATCAGGATCAATGCTTGTAATCATAGATTTGTAGTGAATCTATAGTTTGAATTAAGTATAAACAAAGTAAATAGTCTTAAGCTAAAAAATAGCACCTGGATTATTTAACAAATGTAAAATAATGAGCTAAGGGACTAATACAAATAAAGTGATGATCAAATAGTGGAGCTTGGGAATATGATAGTAGGTAGTACTATAAAGGTAATTTTTTAAAGTTAGAATTATAGTATAAAATTATAATATAAAAAAGGGACTAATATAGGTTGTGGTGACCAATAAAGTGGTAATCAAAAAAATGAGCTTTGGAATATAATGGCAAAATTGTGAACTTATTCTACTTTAGCACCTAAGAATAGCACCTTGATTATTTTAACAATTGTGAATATATAAACTAGGATAGTTATATAAAGCTAAAATAAAGGAGAAAACATATAAGGGACTAAAATTAAGTAATGGTTAACAAAGTTAAATGGACAGATGGTAGGAATTATAATATAAACTTATAATATAAAAATACAATTTGAAATGGTACTTGCAATTGCACTAGAGTCTGGTATAGGTAAGTAATAAGTGTACTGTGTGTATCTTACCTTTTATTGTGTTTTTAATGCCTATTTCTATTGCTAACTTAATATAAGTTAGTGTAAACTTGTTGTCTGGCATTTATTGCATATTTTATATGCTCTGATAATAATACTTGTGGAGCTGTGTGGTAGCCGGGTGGAGGGACAACATTACGTTTTCTCTGCTCAGCCATCAGAGAAAACGTGTATGAATCTGCGTTTGGCCCAGCCACTCCCCCACTCAGCTTTTGTTTACAATTTTCGGCATGAATTATTCATTACTTCTACCTTCGTTTATGATGGCATCTAAAAGGGAGTTGTTAGAAATGATTAAATTCAGTGAACAAGGCATGTCGATGTTAATAATATGGCTCTGGGCCACAGTGTAGGTAGCAGGTAGGTGTAGCCCAGGCTACACCTACCGGCTACCTACACTGACTTTATACAAATAAATACTACTCACCTCTCTTCCTATATTAAGACTACACATATTTTAAGGTAAATAATGAGTGTACTCTATGTGCATTTTACCTCTCTGGGATGGTTTAAATATCGTATATTAAGTATGAGACGGGGAGCCAGTGCTACCTACACCTGGGCTACCTGCACCTGACTTCCTACAAATAAGTACTACTCACCTCTCTCCCTACATTAAGATTACAAATACTTTAGGATAAGTAATGAATTTACTGTGACTGTATTTTACTTTGTGTGTTTTTAATGCCTAGTTGTATTACTAACTTAATATAATTTAGTGTAAACTTGTTGTCTGGCATTTATATGCATTTATAAATGGAAAAAATGGAGTTCTGCCTTCCGGCGATATCTGCTTTCCGGCGACAGCCTGGAACCTAACCCGCCGTATAAGTGGGGCCCTACTGTATTGTAAATAAGTAATCTCCATGTACTATTTGCAAAGACATAACTAAATAAAAAAAAAGGTAAGTGTGAGGTTATTATTGTTTTATTCTTCATGTATCATTGTTTTCTGTGTAGGTAAATGTATATTTCATGTAGAAAACATTTTTTTTAATACTTTTGGGTGTCTGAAACAGATTCATTGGATTTCCATTATTTCTTATGGGGAAAATTAATTCGGAATTAGTCAGATTCGGGTTTAGTCACTCTCTCTCAAACAGATTAATTATGAAAACCAGGGGTCCACTGTATCTGTCTCTGATCCAGTCCATATTTAGGACTTTGAGGCATTCTCAGTATTTAAATGCTTTATTGGCTCCATGCGGACTGTAAATGCTCTCTCTATCTGTTCCAGTTCTAATATCTCCCCTGTCTTGAACTGGCCATCAACACTAAACAATACTCTAAATAAGAAAGCACAAGCTATTTAATAATGTTACAACTGGCACTATTTCTTTTTTTTTTTTTTGTTTTGAAAGTTATCATTGTCCACCTTGTTATCTTCCTGGCTGTTTTGTGACATTTTTCTTATTGTGCTCTCTGAAAGAAGTCAATTGACATAATTATTCACACATCTTTTGTGTGTTCCTTTTATTCTACTTCTTGATCCTTTTGGGTTTTGTATAGTGTCCCTTTTGAGTTCTTCAGTCTTTCCATATTTCAACAGTTGGATATGTCTTGCTAGTATATTGATTTTGCTGTACCAACAGATGCCACAATGATAATTCAACAATATACACTCACCATGGTCTGCTGGAAACTAAATAAACATTATTATAAATGAAACAGGTTTATTAATTACTGTACTTTATATTTTAAAATTTTACTGGTACTGAAGAGCTAATTACAAAGGTCTAGAAGTTGAGAGCTGTCAGAATTCCTGTCTGTCATAGTGGGTCTGTGATGCTACAGAAAGAATATCTGGAATACTCAAGCTGAAGCTACAGGATTTTCAGATGAAGGCCTACTGCTCTGACATTCTTCTTGGTTATCTTTTTAAATATTTCATCCAAATGAAGAGATTTCATGTTCTTGGATCTTTCCCTGTTTAATTTTTCATGAATCAAATAAAAATTCATTAGCTCTTATTCTGTCACAAAGGAACATTGTCCAAACCCTCTAATTAATTTACCTGACAACTTTATTAACTTGTCAATAGCTGTAGCTATTAATAAGTTTAATTGTGTAGCTATTAACTCCAGTCATAGCTAAGGCTGTTAGTAAAATAAAAAATAAACTAAAAATCACACAAAGTGAAGGGATTATCACCAACTGTGGTGTAAACAAGATAAGTGAGCGCACACTAGATATGCTATTTGTGGCCGTCCAATAAACTAGTTGGCAAAAAAAAGTCATTATTTTGTCTGGGCTAAAAGAGGTGCCAGATCATGCACTGCCAGTAAACTAGTGTAGAAAATGGCTTGTTGGTCACTATGACAGACATCTCTGCTAGTTATCTTTGAGACAGTAACTACTGGAAAAGTCAGAAAAAAAAGGCAAAAACCCTGCTGAAGGTCCTGAAAAGACAGTATCCATGTAGATGATAGAAGCAAATGCACATAACTGCTCTGAGAATACTGGATATGGGTGTTGAATTTCAAGCTGCTATTAAAACACTTGAAATTTTGGAGTTTTGAGACAAAATTCATATTATTATTATTATTACAATCAAGGGGGAAGCGCTAAACCCGGAGGATTATACAGCGCCTGGGGGGGATGTGGAAGGCATTCAGGCTTAATTCGGGGAACTGGAGCATAGATCCAATTCCCTAAATCAAGAGCCCCTCACCAACATCAAGGAACCTTCCTTGAGGGGACAAAATTCATAGATGTGGAGCTCATGGAGGATATACATATATGTGGGCACCGTAATAGCGAATCGGCCATGTAAATGAATTTATGGTTGTAATTTGAAATGTCCATATTGGCAAACCATCATAAAGCAAAGCACCATAAAGTGGAGCCCTACTGTATCTGTGGAGACAAAGAACATTATCCACGGAGGAAAAGAAGGGAATGTAGGAGAGTATAGTGGTACCAATACTCTTGTATGGGTGTGAAGAATGGGTTGTGAATGATGCAGCAAGGAGGAGGCTGGAGGCAGTGGAGATATTGTGTCTAAGGGCAATGTGTGGTGTAAATATTATGCAGAGAATTCGTAGTATAGAAATTAGGAGGTGTGGGGTTGCTAAAAGTATTAGTCAGAGGGCTGAAAAGGGGTTGTTGAGGTGGTTTGGCCATTTAGAGATTTAAAAAAAAAAAAAAAAATAAATGGTCAAACCACCTCAACAACCCCTCTTCAGAGATGATGGAGCAAAATAGGACGACCTGGAGGGTGTATAAATCTGTAATGGAGGTGAGGAGGGGTAAGGGTCATCCTAGAGGAGAATGAAGGGAGGGGGTAAAAGAGGTTTTGTGTGCAAGGGGCTTGGACATACAGCAGACATGTGTAATCATGTTAGATAGGAGTGGAGACAAATGGTTTTTAGGACTTGATGAGCTGTTGGAGTGTGAGGATGGAATATTTTGTGAAGGGATTCAGGGAAACGAGTTAGCCGGACTTGAGTCCTGGAGGTAGGAAGTACAATGCCTGCACTTTAAAGGAGAGGTTTGGGATATTGGCAGTTTGGAGTGACATCTGAACTGTTGTATCTGGGCACCTCTGTAAAGACAGTAATTATGTATGAATGATGGTTAAAGTGTTTCTTTTTTGGGGTCACCCTGCCTAAGTGGGAAACAGCTGACATGTTGAAAAAAAAAAATAATAAATAAATATATAATAATTAAATATTTATATACATAGCTCAAATTCTCAGGAATTAGCAGCTGCTCTTCCCTATACTACTATAAAGGGGTTGATTTTATGCCCTTGATCCAAGGGATTAGAACTTCTCCATGGATCAAAGCAAATGACCTCCTATTTTCCATGGGCTTTTATGACCCCTGCTGTATATTATTATTATTATTATAATCAAGGGGAAGCGCTAAACCCGGAGGATTATACAGCGCCTGGGGGGGGATGTGGAAGGCATTCAGGCTTAATTCGGGGAACTGGAGCACAGATCCAATTCCCTAAATCAAGAGCCCCTCACCAACATCAAGGAACCTTCCTTGAGGGGCCCTGCTGTATAGCCCTTGTGGCTTAGCGCTTCTTTTTGATTATAATAATAATTTTATGACCCCTACAGATAAAATACTTCTCCATGTGATAGTACTTCTTTCAACAAACTGGCCATATCCCACCGAGGCAGGGTGGCCCAAACAGAAAAACAAGTTAATCTTTTTAACTTTAGTTATGTATACAGGAGAAGGGGTTACTAGCCCCTTGCTCCTGGCATTTCAGTCGCCTCTTACGACACGCATGGCTTACGGAGGAAGAATTCTGTTCCACTTCCCCATGGAAATGATAGTACTCTCCCTTTTATTTTATTTTTTTAAGGCTTCATTTGCCTGTGTAGCTTGTGTAAGTAAATAAACAATACTGAAAAATATTTCTTTATCATGTAACATACAGGACACACAACAAAGAATATGTTGGGAACTTCCAAAAATTTCACAATGTTTCAATGAATACCATTATTTGTGCAAGAGAGATGGTCAGAAAAATGCTTGTTATCCATTGCAAGACTTTTAGACATCTCAATAAATTGGGTAATGCTAGTCATCAGGGATATCTTCAAGAAGATGCTGGACAAATACCTAATTTAAGTCAGTATCTGACAAGCCGGCTGTGGTTTGTACATTGGTTTGCGTGTGGCCAGCAGTAACAGTCTGGTTGCTCAGGCCCTGATCCACCACAAGGACTGGTCACAGACCAGGCTGTGGGGACATTGACCCCCAGCCCCCTCCAGGTATACTCCAGGGAAATTTAATAAAAAGTAGATGCATTTTAGTCATCAGTCTAGCACTAGCATCATAACTCAGAATACAGGGAGGTTCTTCATATCTGTAATTCTCGCACAACACATTATACCCAAGCAGGACATGGCTATCACTTGGCCCGCTCTTCCTCTCGGTGTATCTGACCTCTGCTACTTATATGTACTACCTATCTTTTGTTCTCTGTATTGGACAGAAAATACCCTTGGTGGGTATATAAAAGCTCATTATTAAATGTGCTATAACCTACTTATTATCTATTATTATTTTTTTATTATCACACTGGCCGATTCCCACCAAGACAGGGTGGCCCGAAAAAGAAAAACTTTCACCATCATTCACTCCATCACTGTCTTGCCAGAAGGGTGCTTTACACTACAGTTTTTAAACTGCAACATTAACACCCCTCCTTCAGAGTGCAGGCACTGTACTTCCCATCTCCAGGACTCGAGTCCGGCCTGCCGGTTTCCCTGAACCCCTTCATAAATGTTACTTTGCTCACACTCCAACAGCACGTCAAGTATTAAAAACCATTTGTCTCCATTCACTCCTATCAAACACGCTCACGCATGCTTCCTGGAAGTCCAAGCCCCTCGCACACAAAACCTCCTTTACCCCCTCCCTCCAACCTTTCCTAGACCGACCCCTACCCCGCCTTCCTTCCACTACAGACTGATACACTCTTGAAGTTATTCTGTTTCGCTCCATTCTCTCCACATGTCCGAACCACCTCAACAACCCTTCCTCAGCCCTCTGGACAACAGTTTTGGTAATCCCGCACCTCCTAACTTCCAAACTACGAATTCTCTGCATTATATTCACACCACACATTGCTCTCAGACATGACATCTCCACTGCCTCCAGCCTTCTCCTCGCTGCAACATTCATCACCCATGCTTCACACCCATATAAGAGCGTTGGTAAAACTATACTCTCATACATTCCCCTCTTTGCCTCCAAGGACAAAGTTCTTTGTCTCCACAGACTCCTAAGTGCACCACTCACCCTTTTCCCCTCATCAATTCAATGATTCACCTCATCTTTCATAGACCCATCCGCTGACACGTCCACTCCCAAATATCTGAATACATTCACCTCCTCCATACTCTCTCCTTCCAATCTGATATCCAATCTTTCATCACCTAATCTTTTTGTTATCCTCATAACCTTACTCTTTCCTGTATTCACTTTCAATTTTCTTCTTTTGCACACCCTACCAAATTCATCCACCAATCTCTGCAACTTCTCTTCAGAATCACCCAAGAGCACAGTGTCATCAGCAAAGAGCAACTGTGACAACTCCCACTTTATGTGTGATTCTTTATCTTTTAACTCCACGCCTCTTGCCAAGACCCTCGCATTTACTTCTCTTACAACCCCATCTATAAATATACTATTAAACATATTAATAAATACTTATGTATTTATTAATATGAGATGTACTAAATTATGTGATAATTTGTTGTAACCAAGATTTTCTTCAAAATTTATAACTACTGTCCAAATTTCTAGAACTATGGGCACCTTAGGTACTATGTAATTCCCCTCTGCTGTTGCATACTTGCTACACTGGCACTGGCACCCCAGTGATGATTTTTATTCAATATAACTCTGGTTAAGAGTTCATAAAATTAATTATCTTTGCTTTTCCTTTCTCATCATCTCTAGTGATTAAGTGGAGAGGGAACTTTCTGCCTAAAATATCTGCATGCAGAACAGAACAAGAAACTCTCTTGGATATCCATATTGCTAGTTTCATAATTTTTCAGCTTGTTCTGGCACTAACAGTGTGACAGAATACCTCGGTTTGGGGGATTTTGGGACAACATATCCCTCGGGTACCTCTATGAGAGTCCCACCAGTTAGGACCACCTCTCCCAAACTGGGGATTTTTGGGCACTTGTTAGTCCAAGCAAAATATTTTTCTTGGTGTGTGGGCCGTATATATTGTTGCTTATCGATGTCATCCTCAGATGAAGGGAAGTTACTGTTGCCATCATTTTTTTTCATGGATATGTTAATTCTCTTTGGTGAAAGTGGATGTATGGGTGACAGAGATGTTGTTTTGCTTGGCTCTTTTTTCAATAATCTTGGAAGAGTAGTTTTGTGATCATTAATAAGTAAGCTTAATTGTACTGGCACTGATTTTTTCAATACCTCAGAACCCTGAGTATTGAAATTTTCTTCAGCAATGACTGGATCTGAGTAACTGAGGTGCTCAGATGACAAAGGATGATCACTGCAGTCTTGACTTCCTAAACTGGAGAAATCCTCTGGTATAAATTCTTCTGTTGGTGTCTCTGATAATCCAGATTTGCACCGAGACTTTGAAAGTGAGTTTTTTGTATAAGTGAGAGGTTTGTTACCCATGTTCTCTGGAATAATGTAGTTATATTCGACACTTTTATTGGAATCTGGACTCTTATTTAATTCATTGTTCTTATATAAATCAGAGCTCTTCTGAATGAAGGGAATGTTTAAATTTATTTTTGAATGCCTAGCTTCTGAATTTTGGCCATTCTCAATGGAGCTATTGTAGTGGGAATCACTGCCTGTTAGCAACGAATCTTGCAGTTTATTTAGAACTACAGGTTTATGGTTTTGACTGTAAGCCCCTATAGGATTAACAGGAGTTGGGTGAGGGTAATCATACCCAAAGAGTGTCTTATTTGATGATGTTGGAGGAATGTCATAACCTGGATGAAATTCCTGCAAGTCCTTGTGCTGTTTAAGTAGATGATCTATTACAGAACTTTGATATGCTTTACTATTTGGTTGCACATTTCTGAGCATTTCTTCAGGGTCATGAACTGATCCACCGGGTATCTGTAGAGGCACCAAGTATCCAAAGCTTGAAGTGACAGACAGCGAACATCTAGACTTCATCAAGTTATTGTTTGACTCAAGACCCAGGTCTGTGGGTCCACTAGCTGTTATATTGCTCTTCATAGAAGGCAAAGCTGTTTTCAGATTTCCATTTCCTTCGCTGATGACAGAACCTGTGAGGATGGAATTATTGCCAGAGTAAACAGTGACAGGAGTTGGAGCAGAAATGGTGCCAGTCTTACGAAGAGTATAAGATGGTTTACCACTCCATCCTTTTTTTTTGTGGGGGCACTTCCTTGGACAACAACAACAAAAGATGATCACCAAAGCCAGTGTGACCAAGCTAGACACAGTGGAGGCGATGGCAACTGGTATCATTACATGTATATCATTCTCATCGGGAGTGACAACTTCTTGACAATATTGCATGGCTCCAGACTCTAAAGTCATTTTGTGGTGACTGTTGGAGTTATTTTCAGTTGACCTCTTGCGTCTAGTCTCATGCACATTGACTTGAGGCTTTGAGGTACTAGAATTATCTTTATTAAAATCATAAGTAAATTTTTGTTTATTGTTTTCTGGTGGTATATTGCCAAATTCATATATAAATCTTTGGCTTGAGTTATGAGCTGCTGACATTAAGGATGTGGTATTTGTTGGTATACTGGACCTAATATTTATACTTGGTCCTATAACAGCTGGTAGATTAAAATGAGTAGGCCCAGATGATGTTGATGGCAGAATAATTCTCTCTCCCGTGCTGGTGAAGACAAAGTTTGGTAAAGACTGTGACCTTGGGCGATGGGCAGGACGATGAAAAATAGGCAGGTTCAGCACTGGTGGAACATTCAGAGAAATTCTTTTATTTGATCCTGGTAAAGAAATGTTTGGAAGTGACGGCAGATTTTGAAGATAGGCTGAATCTGGTATATTTAATGGAGATTCAGAATGTACTTCTTTTGATGGAAGTCCTATAGGGTGTCCTTGAGGTGGAAATGTTCCAGTGGTTCTTTGTGATGGAAGTGCTGCAGTGGTTCCTTGTAATGGGAGTGTTGTAGTAGTTCCATGTAATTGAAGTGTTACTATGGTTTCTTGAGGTGGGAGTGCTGTAGTAATTCCTTGTAGTGAAAGGGCTGTAGTGATTCCTTTTGATGGAAATGCTTCAGTGGTAAATTGTGGTGGAAATATTGAACTGCTGCCCTGTGACTGAAATGGGGATATTCTCGTCTTTGATGGGAATGCAGGCTTTGTTCTTTGTGACTGAAAAACCTTGCCAGGAAGATCAGGAGAGTAACTTTCAGGTATCTCTGATAACAGTGGTGACTTATTTTTGTTACTATTCGTATCAGCTAACTGGCGATTGACATGAGACTGTATGCTGCCACCTTGTATTGCCAAAACCATGAGTTCTGGATTTAAGGAGATAAAAGAATGTGACTGAGGACTCATTTTATTCACCTCTTCCATGTTACCAGTGAGAGAAACACTCACCTCTTGGTCAGACAAGGAGCGGAAACAAAAAATATAACCCATACTAGGTTCTAATCCTTCCACAGAGTAATGATTGGTGAAGTTCTGCAATGGTTCACCACCTTGACTGACCAGAACAATCTCTGTCTCATTTTCGTCTCCAAGGCGACGGTAGGTTATCTTCCACCCCAAAGGACGTAACAGGGCCTCTTTCTTATCTAGAATATCTAACATTTGGTAGGGAAATACAGTAACATTCCATGACAAGTTTACACGACGAGCTTCTTTCATGATGCTCACTTGCTCTGTCTTGACAGAGTAATTCTCTGTGGACACTAAAGGCATTGATACCAGTTCTTTAGGTGTAGTTGTTGTTGTAGTTGAAATTAAGGCATGAAGAGATCTTTTTGGGGTAGTGACATGACGGCATTCATCTGGGTGAATAAAGAGATAGTGATCTTGAATTGGTGCGAGACAAAGTGTGTACTGTGTCTCGGGCTTGAGACCTTGTAATACCTCTGTGAAGGAGGAGTTGCTTGGCTTCCAATTAGAATTCTCCTTGTACAGTGCTAATCTCATTTTTGTGACCTTGGCATCTCTGTGGCCCTGCATTGTCTCTTGTAGAGAGATAGCCCAAGAGAGAGGATCAGATAGAGGCGTCAAGGAAGAGTAGAATGTACCATCTACCCTCCAAGAGACAAGTAGTGCCTGGTGATTGAGTGCTGTCACGTTCACAAGGTGGAGGGAACTCAAGGCATCTCTCAGCACACCATCCACATCATCACCAACATAGAAAACTTGGCTTTCTACTTCCAGTGCTCGATGGGGGCAAAGTTCCAACTCTTGGAAATAAAAAGTAAAAAAAAAAAATTAGTTATTATGACTGTCTTTTTTGTATACAGAATTTTAAACACATTTATTGTAGATGATAAAAGGCACAAAAACAGTACATGTAATTGGAAACTTTATTCAAGTGTTTCAAATTACTACTTTTGTGTCTTATCACTTGCAAATTGTTAGTATTCCCACTTCTCTTACAAAGTGCATTTTGTAATACTGTATATACTGTGCACTGTATTCATATGAAATTTTTGTGTCTAAGTAGGTTCAAATGTTTTATTTCTCTGCCTGTTGACACTCATTTTAAATACATATTAAATACAAGTATTGCAGGTACTGTGGATTTTTTTTACTTTTTTTTTTCTTATCTGTACTGAGCACTTAACCCTTTCGGTGTCAGTCCTGTTATATAACGGCTTTGAAGCCAGTGTTGGTCCCGTAGTACTACACCATGAGCTCAACTCACTCGGATAAGCTGTGAGCAGTAAATCTGAGTCTAGATATGCAGTAAGAGTGCATCATAAAAAAATCCCGCAGCATGCAGTGCATAAAAAAAAGTGACTGCTTTTGGTTTACAACAGTGACTTTGTGGTTTATTTTCATATGGTTTTTATGGTTGTTTTCTGAGTTTCTTGGTCTCAATGGATAAAATTACAAAAAAAAAAAATAGATGATTTTAATTAGTTTCAGGACTGAATATGGCTTGAAAATGAGCTCAAATTAGTGAAATTGCTCGATTCTTGCAGATATTTCAGAGTATCCCAATGACTCCACTTGTCCAATATGTGTCCAACTGACCAGTCTAATATGCATTTAGGAGTGCACTGACATTATTTATACAATTATTACAATAGTGCAGTAGTCTGTATAACAGTAAATCTTCTAGTTTTTGTGTGAATAAAAATTGAAAATAGAAAGCAAGCATAACATAAGAAAGGCCTGGAGACACAACTAAGGAGCAGGAGAAATGTTTTCCTAGTGCCAGGAATATCTACATTGTTTATTCTAGACCCTGTTTTTAAACTGTCGATTTTTTTATTGTGTGAAATTGGCCAAATCACTGATTTCCAATTACTTTACTGGGTAGCTGAAATAGGTAAATGAGAGGTTTCCTGTACTCAGTCAACAGAATAGAAGGAATACTAGTGAAATAGCTATGAGCTTGGTTGACTGGAACTAATGGAATTAGTCAAAAATAGGGCGCAAAGTGGGCAAAATCATCTATGTGTAATATTGCAGAGACTGTTAACTATGTGAGAGTGCAATTCCATAAATTTTCCATTAAATTTAGTCCTTTTGGTTTCATTACCTTTAGAAAAAAAATTCTCTACCATTTCATAAGAAAAAAATATTTTTTTTTTTAATTTTGCAACCCTGAAAGCAAGTTTGAGAGCAGAGGTCCAACCCCGAAAGGGTTAGTATATAATAGTATAAACACATTTTCAGACATTGTAGACTCATTCAATAATGAGAAAACTCTTTTTCCATCTGTCAGAGATATTTGCTTATTGCATGGAGTCAGGAACCTAAGAGCTGTACAAATGGGGCCCTCTTGCATAGATTCTTTTTCAGTTGAATTTTAAGCAAAATTATAAAAAAATAAATAAAAAACATACCTGTTAAAGTAGTTAATTTTCGATGGCGTAAATGCAGTGGAAATGAACATAGAGGCATAGCGATGGTAGGTGTGGTGGGCATGGTGTTGGAGGCATTTTGGTAGTAGCTCTTCAAGAGCCAGAGTGAGTCACAGTTGCAGTCCCAGGGATTTCCTAAAGACAGAGTAATAGTAAGCTACCTGAAGTCCCTCAAATACTGGAGTACAGAAGTTATTCATATATGGGTAATGTAAAAAATTACAATAAATATGATGTAATTGTAGCTGGTTGTCAAGATGTAACATGTTTAATGCATTAATTAAGGTTACAAATATCATAGAATTAATATTTCTCACCTTAAGTTGTTGTTGCTGGTACATGTATCTGTTAGTGATTCTGAATAAAGTGGAGAGAAATGCTGTGGCTCTACTGGGTTGAGATGGAAGGGTGTAGATTGTTTGCTGAGATGGATGATTATGGACTGTTTACTGAGGTTGATGCTTGAGGCTTTGGCACTAAAGTCAATGGTTGCACTGGAGTCGTGAGAAATCCTGTAATGTGTCTTGGATCTCTTTTTACCCTGCAGTACTTTATACAGCTGATGGTAAAGCATCATGAGTTGCTATAGCCCCAGAAGGACATATTCACTGTAGTTGTCATTCCTTGTTGATGTGGAAATGTTTGGGGAGGGTTGATGTGACCCTGTACAATACAGTGGACCCTCGACCAATGGCTTTAATCCATTCCAGAGAGCGAGCCTTTAGTCAAATTAATTTACCCTATAAGAAATAATGGAAATAGAATTAATCCATTCCAGACGCCCAAAAGTATTAAACAAAATAATTTTTTACATGAAATAAACATTTCCCTACACAAAAATGAATGCTACATGCAAAATAAACAATAATTAAATGCCACTTACGTTTATTGTGGAGTTGCTGATGAGTGATGTGCCAGCAGCAGGGGATATTCAGGTTTTCTATTGTTTGGAAGGGGAATCCCCTTCCATAAAGACTTCAGGTACCAAGTCCTTTGGTGGGGTTACCTCCCTTCTTGGTTTTTTAATGCCACTAGGACCAGCTTGAGTCACTGGACCCTTGTCGCACAAAATATCTGTCTTGGGGTCCATGGTGGCTTATTTAGTGGTTACAGGCACTAAAAACACTGGAATAATACAAAATATATTGCAGGTACACATGGAATCGACCGCAACGGCTTGTAAACAATGCCACACTGAGTCTTCGAGTGGCTGGGCATGCTCAGGCCGCGCTCCGGCCGCATGGACGCGTTCAAGACGAAAGCCGTTAGATGAGTTTTTCGCCGTTGGTAGAGCCATTTTTTACGCCAAAGAGCTCCGTTAGACCAATTTGCCGTTAGTCGATGCCGCTGTTGGTCGGGGGTCCACTGTACTTGTGGAAGCATACGACAGGCTATCAGACCTTTTATTTTTTATTAACACATCGGCTGATTCCCACCAAGGCAGGGTGGCCCGAAAAAGAAAAACTTTCACCATTCACTCCATCAGTGTCTTGCCAGAAGGGTGCTTTACACTACAGTTATAAAACTGCAACATTAACACCCCTCCTTCAGAATGTAGACACTGTACTTCCCATCTCCAAGACTCAAGTCCAGCCTGCTGGTTTCCCTGATTCCCTTCATAAATGTTACTTTGCTTACACTCCAACAGCACATCAAGTATTATTAAAACCCATTTGTCTCCATTCACTCCTATCAAATACGCTCATGCACACTTGCTGGAAGTCCAAGCAGGGCCGGATTAAGAAGTCTCTGGGCCCTAGGCTATTCAGATTGGCGGGGCCCCTTTGAGTTACGGGTAAGTGAAGTGACCCCTTCCAGCTTGGGGGGGGGGGGTCGGTGTGAGCCTGTTTAAGGTCTAATTAAATACATTCTGGCTATTTAGATTAAATTTAATAGGGAAAGTACATCAAGACAACCAAAACCATTTACCAACAGCCATTATAACTAACTTGTTAAATCATGCATTTTAAAGAGAATAAACTCAAGACAGCATAGTATTACTAGATTAGGTTATTAAAGTAGTGACATCATGTACCTATTATATTCAGCATAACACTACAGCACTATTATTCCCTTTATAAATCACTGACCATTATTGTTATCATTGCATCATGCATAAGACTATCAAATCATATAAACTCAAGAAAGTAAAGAATTGTTTATATTCACAGGCACTTCTTAAATAAACTTTTTTCTGGATTTCATATTGGCAAAATCATCAATTATATTCTGAAAATCAATATTTCTTGTAAGATCAGACTCAATGGTCAACAAGGCTAGGTTACACAATTTGTCTTGGCTCATTGTTGAACGGAGCTGGTTTTTCACTCTTTTCAAAACAGAAAATGAACGTTCTCCTTCACAGTTAGTAGCTGGAAGTGTTAGGTAAAGGCGATACACTATGTTAACATTAGGGAAGGTTTCTGAGATACCTGCATTTCTTAAATGTTTCAAAGCAGCTGAGGGCGCACATTTTTCAGGTGGAGCTTTAATCTGATTCATATACCCAAAAAAATGAACTACGTATTTCTTCAACAAATGTGTCCTGAACATCTGCTGAAAGGTGTTGTTGCAACTTTAATGCAGCTTCTCTCAATTCTGCATCTGGCATAGTAGTAATTTTGAACAGAAATCCAAACTTGTCATTGAGATTCTGGTAGATTTCTTTTCTTTTCACCAAGTCTGTAATCAGTGAATCCAGAATGACGAAGTATGTAACTGTCTTACATTTCTGCCTTGGTAGCAACACAATTTCATTGTCTGGCTCTTCAAAATTGCGTTTCCTCTTCCTTGACTGCTGATGATCAGCCCAGTAACTACTCTTTCACCAGCAGTTTAGCTTTCTCTTCAAACATTTCAAAAGCTTCATCACTGCGAAGTGAGCTTACAAATTCCACTAAGACTGCATAGAGGTTGCACAAGTAGCCATTCAATTTCAATTTTCTGAAGTGTCTTGTTCGTGGCATTTAACCGTTCCAGTATACAGTCCCAAAGCACACAGAGTAAGGCCAATTCAAATCTTCCAATTTTGATGCTAAGCTGGCTGCTTCGCTTCTTGTAGTTGCTGTCTGGTCTTCATCCTCTGCTATTTGGATCAAAGCAGAACGTATTTCAGCAAAGCTGTCTTTCAAAGCACATGTGTTGCATCATGCTGTGCTGACCCACCTTGTTGTTGATATATGATTTGATGACATCTCCATGAATGGTTGACTGAGTATACTCCACCGATGCGTTGAGCAGAGAAAAAATTAAAGAGTGCTTGTAAAAGTCCAAAAAATGAAACAGCAGCGACACAACACTCCACAGCACATGACCCAACAAGATTAAGAGAATGTGCTGAGCAGGGCACATATTCAGCAAGTGGGTTGATTTGCTTGATACGGGCTTGCAATCCATTATATTTACCCGACATGTTACTTGCATTGTCGTAGCTCTGGCCACGACAATCCATAATAGAGAGATCATGTTCAAGCAGAGTATCCAGTACTACATTCATCATTGTTTCTCCATCATGGCCTGAAAGAGGAATGAATTTTATAAAGCGCTCTACAGGCTTACCACTGGAGTCGACAAAGCGATCAATGAATGTCAATTGATCTGTATGTGAAATATCTGGTGTTGAATCTACACTTATTGCAAAGTATTTTGCAGTTTTCACATCTGCTATGATGTTATTGAGGACCTTCTTAGTCATCAGTTCAATAAATTCATTGCATATAGTAGATGACATGTAAGATACAGTGCCTCTTCCTGCATTCCCAAGGCGTGACACATGATTTGCTAAGAATGGATCGAATTGTGCTAACAGTTCTATTGATCCTAGGAAATTGCCATTGTTTTTCCGAACCGAAAACCTCATTTTCTCCACGGAAAGCAAGTCCTCTTAGAGCTAAGAATTTTACAACAGCAACAACTCTTTCTAGAACTTTTCTCCAATAAGTGCGCTCTTTTTCAGTTTGATTTTCAAATGAGAATCCAATAAGCCTTTTTTCTGTGCATGAAATGCACTGGCTAAATGCAGCTCCTGTGAGTGGTGCTGTTTTCATGTTCTCGAAACGCTTGGAATTTTTCAGTCATTGAACCCCTGTGTGAAAGTATTTTCTTTGGAGAAAATAGCTTGCATGCTGAACAGTACACTTTCCTGAGCTTTCAGAGTATACCATCCATGATCTTTTCACAGTTTCTGAATTTGCAAGCTTCCTATAAACATAGATGACTTTAAACAACGACGACTTCCATCATCATAAATCCTTGCTGATTTCCTAAAGTCAATGTTCAGAGTTTGACTGAAGTTTTCTGCAATGAAAGCATTACGTAGAGAATCTGGGATTACATTTGACCATGAGGCAGATCTTTTAAGACAAATCCTGTGGATGAAATGTCTGTTGAGACATTGAGAGGAGACACAAAAGAAGTAGATGCTGGCTGAGAAATAATGGAGGGAGGGCTTCCTGTATGATCTGACGTATCTGCAGATTCAACTGTACTGGTAACATCAGAAACTGTTTTCGTGAGCATGTCTGTGATCTTTCTGCAGCTTCCTACATCTTTCTTTTTCTGTTCTTTCTTGAATTTTCTTCTTTCTTTTCTGTGACCCACTCGCATAAGAACGTCCAACATCACGTTCACGAGATGCCATAATGAGGATGTATCACTGTCTGTAATCATGCAAATACAAATTTTTCATTATCAATTATTATTAATTTTTTATTATTAATTTTTTTTTTCTGCCAATTGGGGGATATGGCCCTTGTAGCCCCCTTTCCTCTGGCTGCGCATCTAAAAATTCAAAACGTTACCAGAAAGGAGTCATATACAGAAAATTTTACCATAGATTAGGTTAGTGATTTGGGCTACGAATATTTTACTAATTCATCCTCCTTGAATCTCAATTTACTTAAACAGAAATCATACCGAGTCCAAGAACAATGCACAATGGTATTTATATTACCATTTTCATAACTAAACTAATCATTATGTTTTGCATGATATATGGCCTACCACCATAGATAAGGACATGAGAATTAAAGAATGCAGGGACAATTTTCAGTTTCACCCAACCAACGATTTTCTGATGTGGCTTATGTGTTTCTGGGGAAATATGTAGTAAATTAATTGATGTTCTACATCACTTC